CAGGGTGAATATTGGTTGGGGATTTCTCAACAGCAAGTCGAGAATTCTCTGCCCGATCAGACACGATCTCTCGCGCGGACATTCACACTCACCATGTGCGTGCCGTCCTTGCTCTCCGCGCGAATGTTCACTCTCGGCACTACTCTCACATGGTAAAGGGCTATAGTCGAGAAAATCCTCGACCGTTTTTCACCCTGGTGGAAAGTTTTCTTCAAATCGCAGGATCATGCTGAATTCGTCCGCAATCTAGCACACGTTCTGACGTTTTGAATTCTACTGCAGCAGAACCCGCGGAGCCTTGTCTCGTCTGGATCGCCGCGCATCCCGCCATGCGACTAGCCGCGTGCCAGCCCGGACGAGCCAAAAGTCCTGCACCCTTTATGGCGATCTTTGAAAGGGCGGCGGACATCAGAGCGTTGCTGTTTTGAAGACTTTGGTTTTTTCCCCAGTATCGTGGAGACATTCTCTATTTCAGTTATTTCCGTTTGCCGTACAAATCGAAGCCAATTGGGTGATGTCATCGTTGTCAAATGGAAATTCGTATGTGGCCGTGGATGACATATCCGTTAAGCGTAGAAATGCTTTGACAAGGGTGATTTTCTTCACACACACACGACACAAAAACGGTCGATCACGAAATTGTGGGTGCCGATTTTAATGGAAATGGACAAAGGCAAAGAAAACAGCCAACGAACTCCTTGGAAAGGCGCTCCCTCTGTTTCCTCTCGAGAAGGTGAAAGGGCGCGTCGAACGAGTTCTCCGGCGGTATTTATTGCTGGCTCGTACCAGCGAAAAATGCGGCTGCAATTGCATGTGCACTACAAGCATAGACATACGCATTAGTACAAAGAAATGCGATAATTAAAGGCTAATTAAGAAAGAAAAACCATTATAAACAAAATAATTGATACGGTTCGTTTCGCTCCTTCCTCAGACGAACCTTATTATTTCGTCAATCCCCGGAGCTCATCAGTGAGTTGGGATTGGCGAAATAAAGACACAGGGGAAAGACGAATAAACCTTGATGTGACGTACTTTCATGCAGAGGAGCATGCAATGAAATGAATTGTATATTGACTAAATGAATGAAAAAATAAGTTGATTAACATGTAAAACTATAAAGTGTAAAAGGTGGGTGTTTGTAATTGTTCCACTAACAATTAGATAGCACTTTAGTGACGAAGTATTCCTTCCACTAACTTACTAATATTTTTATAATTATTAGCAATTGAAAATTTGTAACATATAAACTTATGGCACTATTGAGCTATTACAACCCCAGAGGGGGTGAGATGGATCAAAAATTTTTTCGCTGAAACTTGCGCTAGGGGGGTTATCGAGGCTCCTGATCACGAATATGACCTTAGTTTTTGGCGCTGGCGCCAAATTGGCGCCATTTGGCGCCAATTGGCGCCAATTGGCGCCAAGGGTGTTTTCACCAAATTCGCTGTAAACTTGTGAATAGGGGTTATCGAGGCTCCTGATCACGAATATGACCTTAGTTTTGGCTCAATTTCTCTAGGTGACGCTCGAAATAGATGTCATCTAGGCGCTCATCCAGTAAGGGGGGCATCAAGTGGCTGCCCTCACCCCCCACCCCCCTAGACTGCCTACACTCCCCCTGGCACACAGGTTTCTCGAAGTACGGGACCCCGTGAGCCAGGGGGAGTGAAGCCAGTTCAGGGGGTGGGGTGAGGGCAGCCACTTGATGCCCCCCTTACTGGATGAGCGCCTAGATGACATCTATTTCGAGCGTCACCTAGAGAAATTGAGCCAAAACTAAGGTCATATTCGTGATCAGGAGCCTCGATAACCCCTATCACAAGTTTACAGCGAATTTGGTGAACACCCTTGGCGCCAATTTGGCGCCAGCGCCAAAAACTAAGGTCATATTCGTGATCAGGAGCCTCGATAACCCCCCTAGCGCAAGTTTCAGCGAAAAAAATTTTTTGATCCATCTCACCCCCTCTGGGGTTGTAATAGCTCAATAGTGCCAAACTTATTTTCATAGAAGCACTTAACTACATTAGTTACAATAAAGTTCTCATGGTAACCATTTCCTAGTAACACTCTTATGAAGCTCTGTTAATTTATCAGTAAATGTGTCAAAAAAGTTCGGGCTCAGACCCACCTAATAAGCCCTTGGAGTGGCTAGAAGTGCGTGGGACGCAACTGCAGCGACGCGCCACGTTCCCTGCATCAAATGCGTCACTAAGACGCTAGGCGCCAAGGACTTTGACACGCTCCACCTGTTGCGACACGCTCCGCCCACCGCTCGATATCTTGTCTGCGTCGCTTTGATCTGCTATGCTCTCTCTACTCGGACTTCTCTACCGCTCTCCGCGCTCACATTATCTCTCATCTCCCTGCCGGCCTTTTGAACTTCTCCGCAGCGTAGAGCAAAAGGCTCGTATTTCCTGTGTATTTCACGATTTTTTTCTTTTTTCTCCACTGGCGGTCCCCTACCCTACTTTCACATTTGAGTGGAATTACCTCATCAATTTAATCCTGAATCTTGCCTTTAACACATTGCGTACCGCGTGCGCCACATGGTGGCGCACGACATTCCTGCTCCGTGTGGCCGCGTGCGCCACATGGTGGCGCACGATCTTTTCTTCACAACGGTTGACGTTTATTATTTCGTGTTTGTGCAGATATACGATTTATCACTAAGAGGACAACATATTCGAGTGGGACGTCTCTAGATAATTAATCAGTATTTGTACATGATATTCAAATTAATGCCTAATTTGGAAACGGATTTTGCTTGAATAAAAGGCATTCTTTCAAGCAATTTCACAATCTAGACGTAATGCAAATGAATTGGAATAATGTGTTGCATCCAAAATCACCAAAAGAAGGTGATGCGCAGCAGAATATCAGCGTTAAGGCGTCATGAGCGCTTTTTCCACCTCACATGTCTTTCGGCGGTATATTTTCGACGCCTCATACTACTAGGCACTCAGAAATACCTATACTCAGAATCATACTCACGATTGCCCTACCCTGGTATCAAATTAGGCGGTAAATGTACGGCAAACTATGGAGTTAACCTACCCACTTCCTGCGATGGTCCGGTGAAGGGTGAAATGCGTCTACAAATATTCTGCAAATCTTAATGATCGTCGCTGCTGTTCAATAAAGATGCTTAAGCAGATTGTGGGGTAATGGAACAAACTTGTTTGCCGTCGCTAGTTTGCACCAGAAAATGGTCAAAGCAGATTTTCGGGTCCATCACTATTGCTGTGGTGTAGCTATTTATTAACTACTA